GTACACAGAGGCCAGACAGTGACATAAAGTATCTTCCTTGGCCACCCTTCACCTTATTTTTTTGAAACAAGGTTTCTCACTGAACCTGGAGCTCACCTAGTATTCTAACCTGACTGGGCAGCAAACTCCAAATCTTAATGCCTCTGCCTCCCCAGTACTGCGGTTACAGCATGTGCCTCTGCGCCCAGCTTTGCCCTGGATGGTGGGGATCAAACTCAGGTCCTCGTATCTGTGTAGTAAGTGCTTTGCCAACCAAGCCGTCTCGCCAGCCTCTTTTACTCTTTATTTTGAGACAGTCTCACTGAGTTGCTCAAAAAGGCCTCAAACTTGGGATCCTCCTGCCTCAGCCGCAGAGGAGGCTGGGATTACAGGCCCATGGGATCATGTCCTGCTAAATACATTTTTGACAAGGAACTTTGAAAATACCAGTACTGTTTTCAAAGGAAAATAAATCGAAGGAATGCCTCCTTGAAGGAATACATGCTAGACCTGGCATGAGAACTATCTGGGGTAGAAACTGGCCTGCAATTTTTCTAGTCACTCAGATGCCTGTCTGGGCCAGCATGAAGATTGTTGCGGCAAAGAACTCCTTAGGAATTAACTCCAGAATGTATTTTCCTTGTTCAAAAGGAAGCTGTCTGGAACACTGACTGGTGTCCATGAACATATTCCTCTGGGGTTGGGGACACACTGTGGGGAGCCTTCCCCTCTGGAGGGCCAGAGGGCAAATGTCCAGTCGGATCCAAGATAGAGCTATGGGACAGGAAAGCTCTTGGTGACTGGCAGGCTCAGACAGGTCCTCACCTTGGGTCAGCCAACGCCCTGAGGCTAGGTATGAGCTGATCTTCCTACCAAGCCGGGAGCCAGGCCAGTGCCCAGAAGGCGGGGCCTCGGGGTAAACCTGCGGCCCCACAGCGACACCATGTGGCAGCAGGCCAAACTGCAGCATAAGAAAACGGACTTGGCTGTGAATCACCAACAACTCAGAGGTCTTCTAGTTAATGAGGAGGGCAGGAGTTGAAGCCGTTCACTGGGAGGGCTGTGACCGGGCAAGCCTCTGGTCACCATTGTGCCCACAGGCAATAGGTGTGCCAGCTCTGAGAAGGCTCTGAGGGGGTGGCTGGTAGAGAGGAGAGCCACAAGTCCTTTCCAACAGGAACCTGGGCAGCTCGTTGTTCCAAGCCAACCATGGGAGCATGAACGGCCCGAGTCCTGAACTTCACAGACCCAAGTGCCCCCGAGGAGTCCTGACAGGAAAGACCGTTGAGAAGATTGAAGGTGTAAGCAAGACAGGAAAAGGGGGCTAGCATGGAGGTTCCGAGGGGAGTGAAGAGAAGATGAGAGATGGAAGAGAGGAGAGGAAGAAGGAACAAAGGAAGGGGTTTCAAACTGACTCCCAGGGCTGGGGAGACGCTGGAGGTGGGGGGCAGAGGGGGAGCTTGCTGTGCAAGCGTGAGCACCCAGGTTTGGATGCCCAGCACCCATGAAAGCCGGGCATGGCAGCAAGTGCCGGTAAGCACCCCAAACTGCAGATGTACTCAGGTAAGGCATCCCCCAGGAAGCCAGGGCACCCAGGGACACCTCCGGCTACCAGCAAGGCCCAGAATAATGGGCACAGAAAGTGAGTGTTCTAGAGGCACTCAGCTTCAGAAGCTGGCACTGTGGGGTATCTGAAGCAAGGTGGCTGGTCGCTAAGAGAACAGAAATATGGAAGAAGGGGAGAGGGTTCCAAAGCTGGGGACACAAGGCACATCTTAGCCTCTGCTGCCTCCTCCTCTTCCTCCTCTTCCCCTCCTGCTCTCCTCCTCCTCTTCTTCTTCCACATCCCCCCTCTCCTCCGCCTCTTCCTTTTTTATTATTACTTTTTTGGACACTTGTGTGGAGATTAGGGAACTACTTGTGGGAATCAATTCTCTTCTTCCATTATGTGGGTCATGGGGATCGAACTCAGATCCACAGACTCGGCAGCAAGCATCTTTAGCATGCTGAGCCACCTCCGTGGTCTCAGCCTTCTTCAGACTTCCCTAAAGACATTGTCTCCTGGTGCCTTCCTTGGGACCCTGGAAACTGTGCTCTCACACACCCACGCATGGAATCTTGTCTCCAGAGGTTTCTCCTGGTCATTTCACCCACTGCTTGTCCTCAGAGATTCCTGGCGCCTGAGTTCTCATCCAGGAGCCATTTCAACCTCTGGTCAGGGCCCTCGGTGCTGAATGGTTACCATTTCTGCCCGAGAGCATCTGGAGGAACTTCGGACACTGCACTTCCACGGTCTGTGCCGGTGCCGCGGACGGCCAGCAGCTCATGTTGTCCCACAGCCCCTCACAGCCTGCAGAGAAGAGCTCTGGATCAGGAGGGAGCCTGGACCAAGGCGGTCACCATCACCACCCTTTAACCCCAGTTCCCATATGCGCTGGCTCCTCGAACTCCACCTTTCCAGGGTTGGGGCATGGATGGAAACCAGGGTCTTTCAAGAGCCACGCCTCTGAGAGATTTCTTCAGCTCCCGGCTCCTAGATTTCGGAACCTTTCAAAGCAGCACCACCAACCAGAGGCGTTAACACGGGGGGCCTATGGACACCATTTCCTATCAACTCCTAACAGCGGGGCTGCAGATGCGGCTCAGGTGGTGGAGCCCCTCCGAGTGTATACGAGAGCCCTGGGGTTGGTCCCCAGCACCCGAGAAGCTGAGTGTGGTGGCACATGCCTATAACCCCAGTAGGGAGGAGGCAGTAGAATCAAGGTCATCCTCAACTACGTAGAAAGATGGAGGCCATGTAAAATTTGGTCAAGAAAACAAAACAAAACAAAAGCATTGTCATCCAAGTAAAGGGGCTCCCCAGGGTCACTCTCTTCTAGACCCCCACCATCCTTGTTCCAGGCCGTAGCCTGTCCTGTCCTTCACCCCACCTCCAAAGACCCTTCCCAGCCCACTCGATGCTGGTGCTGCTAACAGGACAGAAACACGTCACATGTGACTTACCTTCTTACCTCCCCAGACCTCTGTACCCTCTGCTGACCCATTCATCCTGGCCAGGCCCATCCCTTGTGTTACACACACACACACACACACACACACACACACACACACCTCCTTGCCTCTTCGTTCTGGCCCCTGAGCCTGCCTGGGGTTGACCAAAGCCTCGAGACAGATCAGGTGGTTGGAGACTATAAAACGCACCAAACGGTGAGCTAGGCAGACACATCCTGCCTCTGTGTTTCCTGGCTATGCTAACTCACTAAACGACCCCTCCTCATTCTACTTCACAGTTTCTGCTTCACTGGAAAGTGGGAGTTGAATCATATGCCTGCCCCCCCCGTCCGTCTGTTCCCCCCCCAGCCTCCCCCCCCCCCCACCCCCGCCAAACACACACACACAAATACCAAGCCAGATAGTGTAGAAGGCCCTGATGAAGACATGGACCTGACAAGTTGCAGAGATGTCAAGGACAAGTCTATATGCAGAAAGGACTGTGCCAACAGTGGTCCCTCCACCAGTTCATTGGCCACATACCGAGTACCTTCACTATGCCAGACCCATGGGAGGCCCAGGGACTCCAGTTATGAACCACCAGATAGGCGTCTGCTCTTGGGAACCCTCTGCTTGGTGGACAACAGTGCTTGGAAACTAAGTCAATAACTGCCTCTGTCACTGTGTACTGGAAGCTGGGGTACTCTGGACCCGCAGATCAGGAGGTTGGGAAGGCTGAGCAGACTCTCCAAAGTCCTGATACACATAAAGCAGCATCTTTGGGGCGTTTATGAGATGCAAGATTCTGGGTCTGACCTCCCAATGGCTGAATTAGAGTTCTGTAGACCAAAACCCAGAGAGCTGTGAACTGGACATGCTTCCAGCTGCTTCCAATGCAAAGTAAAAGGCAGAGCCTCTGTGGTGGGGCAGGTTACCATGGGGTAATGATGTCATGAGGACACATAGCATGGTTGGACCCATGTTTGGACATTGCCTCTCTTGT